TAATTACATAAATATGACCCCAAAAAGATGTTTTATAAAAATATGACTAGTTATTAGAGTAGTAATGAAATCATATCAATTCATGTTTAAGTTTTGACCTTAAGTTACCATAACACTACGTTGTAGTAATGAATAGTCATATTTATGTAAATAAGTTTTATTTTAGTAATATTCTTGTAAAAAACCCAATAATGAAATAATTAAAATTTAATAAACTGTTTATAAATAATAATAAAAATTAAGCTTAAAAAAATCGTAAAACTCCATAAAAAAGGTAAAACAAAGGATGTCTTTCCCGCCTCCCTGCACAACCATCTCCAACTGGTGTAAAAAATGCCATCTTTTTCTAAAAATGCCAAAAAAGTGGCATATTCCTCTTTGAGAATACCAACATTTTCATTATTTTTGCCAAAAATATGGCATTCCTAATGCAAGTGGCATCCCCCCCAGCGACCGGAGGTGGTGGTACTGCCTCTCTTCACACCACCTCCGACCGGTGTAAAAATGTCATTTTTTCTAAAAAAACTCTTTTTTTTTTTCCTGAAAATGCCAAAAAATGGCATTTTACTTTTTGAGAATGCCAACATTTTCATTGTTTTCTGCCATGAATATGACATTCGTAATGAATTTGACATTTTCCCCCTAGTGACCGGAGGTGGTGGTACTAGGGCGGCAGAGGCGGTGGTGATTTTTTTGGCCTTTTTTTTTAAATTTTTTAAAATTATTATTTAAATATTTTTATTAGTTTTTTTAGTATTTTTCATGAATTTTTATCATTTTTTATTATTTTATTATGAATTAAAACATTTCAATAGCAACAAGGGTATAATTCTCCAACACACACATAAATAGTCCTTTCAAAACATAGTTTACTTTTTGGTCCTATTTTGATAATTAACTCAATATAATAAGAGTTTAGCTTGCTCGGGGATCTGGCAACCACAACTATTTCAACATTAAGAGCATCTCCAATGGTAGAATGTGCACGGTGCATATGTGGCATGAGAGACAACCGCATAAATATTACTAAATAAATTATTTCTCTCCTTATTTGAATGACTTTATACAATTTTGGTATGTTTTGCCCTGCAATGTCAACGCAATGTCAACATTTAGAGCATCTTCAATGGTACAATGTGCACGGTGCACACGTGGCATGAGAGATGACCACATAAATATTAGTAAATAAATTATTTATCTCCTTATTTAAATGATTTTATACAGTTTTGGTAAGTTTTTCTCCACAATGTCAAAGAGACCGTCTAATGTTGACATTGTTGTTGACATTGCAGGGAAAAACTTACCAAAATTGTATAAAATCATTCAAATAAGGAGAGAAATAATTTATTTGCTAATAATTATGTGGCTATCACTCATGCCACATGTGCACTGTGGACATTATAGCATTGGAGATGCTCTTAGACGGTCTCCTTGACATTGTGGAGAAAAACTTACCAAAACTGTATAAAATCATTCAAATAAGGAGAGAAAGAATTAATTTACTGATATTTATGTGGCTATTTCTCATGTCACATGTGCACCGTGCACATTTTACCATTGGAGATGCTCTAAGTTGCATCATCTTCAAATGAAAAGAATTATCATTATAAATGCTCCTAAGGAAGCATTCATCTTTCAGTGTTGGAAAATTTTATGAGATGACAGAAATGACTAAGTTATTTTCTTAGAAAAAACACAAAAGAGACTGTCACACGGTTAGTTTTTATAGCATAAATGTTCCTACTCCGATCTCTTATAGGATTATATCACATTGATAATGTCTACTTTCAGTTCCTTCTCAAATACAAAGTGAAGCCAATCAATTAAATTATATACTTATATCAAACTCACTTCGTCCCAAAAAAATCGTCAAATTAACGTTTCTTGATCAATGATAATCAACTTTGACTAATACGGAGTAATATATATATTTTTATGCGGAATTCCTTATTTAAAAAATATAAAGAACTCTTTCATTAATTCAATATATCGTTTGTCATATGGCTTACAATACAATCAGGCATAAATTCATAACTACAAGTGAGATCTAAGTTTGCCACGCATGCCCTAGCCACAATATGAGCAACGTGATTCGCATATCACTTAGAATAAGAGACTTTAAAGTCAATATTCTCCTGAAGTAAAATTTTGATATTTTCAAGTAAAATGTCGAGATAAGATAAACCTCCTTCCTTCTGAATGCCCTGAACAACTGCAAGAGCACCAAACTCGATAACCCTTTTTGTCATCCCCTTTTAATGCGAAATTACTTAGAATATGAAAATTATATCAATATATTTCTTACTCAACATATTTTCACAAAGTATAATTTAAAATTATATACTCCCTCCGTTCTTTAATAAAAGTCCTTCTTTCCTTTTTGGGACGTTTTTTTTTATTTGTCCTCCTTTCCATTTAAGGAAAGTTTTTACTTTAAATATACCTTTATACCCCCACTTTTATTACCATTACCCCTTTCTCTTTCCTACTTTTTCATTTACCCACTACTCATTACACCTTTTACACTACCCCTACTATTTTCCTCTTAAAACTCGTGCCAAAGCCTAAGAGGACAGATAATAAAGAACGGAGGGAGTACTAATATAATAGTGAAAACCATTGTCCAAAGTTTGTCATTATTGATCAAGTAAAGTCAATATAACAGAACTTTTCAAAATGGTGGCATTATCATATACGAAGTACTAAGATTGTTGCGCACATACTTTCAAAGACTCTGGAAAGCATTTTAACTAGTTAATAGAAGATTTCTACTATACCCTAGAGTAGTTAATAAAAATCAACCCTGTTTCCCGTTTCCCCACATTGGAACAGTTGATCAAAATTGATAAATTGAATAAGAAGCATGTTTATTAGCAAATCATCAAGAATTGATCGACAACAATAAAGTATATAAAAATATAAAATCTAGGTATTTGTTCTTTTGTGTATACGATTTCGACGATAGCATGGAAACAGTTGATTAAAATTGCTAAAGTGGGTTTTGCTGGAGTCCTTGGGCATCGATGAAAAACGGCATCTTTTTTTTTTAACAGTAGGGAAATTTTTTATTAATTAAGAAAAGGAGTACAAACTACAAAGTGAAAAGGAAAGTAGAGAAAATAAAAAAGCAAAAGGAAAGAAAGTAAAATCTATGCCCATGATAATTGCTTAGATTGAGATCTAATCCGCATGTTATGTCTCCGTTTGTTCTTCTGGGGTTTGCGATAAATTTTTAGCTGCGTATACAGATTTTCTGTTAGCAAGCAAGTGTCCTGAGTGATAAATTGAGATTTAAAGCAGATCTATCTGTTGAACTTGGAGTCCTGAATGTCACCCTGATTGGAAATTGGCGGTCGACAATCGCTTTTAGTTGAATGCCCTAGAAAATCATCTGAGAAGTATGAGTCATCCGATGGATCAAAGCTGTCGGAGGCATCCGAATAAACCTGTATCAGTGCTAAATTGGGCTGTTTCTCTGAAGATTGAAATTGTTGTTTCACTGCGTAGTCTCTCTGAACTTCATAATTAAATATAACTTTTAAAATGGATGGGAGTTCCTCAATGTCAGCCGAAGTCTCGTGTTCCAAATGCATTGGAGCCTCCCGTGTTAAATTAGAGTGACCCACAAAATTAGAAAAGATGGCCAGAAATTTCAACAGGCTTGAATAAATGGATGTCTAAATTGTTGGACCAAAGTGCGATAGCCTAACCGTGAATTCATCTTGGTGGTTGTTTCTTTTGATGGTCTTTATCTTTGTCCGACTCCTCTTCTTGTTTGTCTGTCTGGATGCGAGGAATAGAGAAATGTTTGAATATATTACATTCATCAAAGCATCCCATTCGATTGCGCAACCTGTTCTTCACGATCTTCATGACTGAGAAAGCTCTTTTCACAATTGCGGTCATCACTTGTAAAATCAAAGCTAATTTCACAAGTAAAAAACTAATGGATACACAATAACTTTCTTTAAAGTGCAAAAGTTAATACTCCGTAGCTAATAAAGCACTACCTCCGTCCCAGTAGACTTTGCCAAGTTAAAAGTATGTGAGAAATAAGAATAGTAAAAACTATGTGGTTGAGGTTTGTTCAGAGGAGAGAGAAATGAGCAGAATCACAAATTAGTTACTTTAATAAGAAAGTGACAAAGTTTTTTGGGACAACCAAAAAAACAAATTTGGCAAAGTTCGATGGAGGGAGTAATAAACTAATAATTTATAAACTAAAGAAATAGTAAGTTACGACAACACCTTATGCAGTTCCGCAGGGGCCTGTGGGATTGTCGCCTAGTCGGTGAGCCTGTAGCCTAAATAGCCGGAGAGTAGATGGGGGCGCCTGGGCATCGAAGTCGGAAGTCGATGGCAGGGCCGCAGGAGGAAGGAGAATGGAGACACTGATCGGATGAGGGTTTCCGATTTTGAACAATCTGTTGTTTGGTCTTTCGCAGCGGGAGCTTTGGAATAGGAGTTGTACACCGCCCAAATTTCAATTGCCTCGCTTTCAATTAGGGGTGGGATCGGGTCGGGTTGGGTCGGGTTTTGGTTAGGACCGTAAAAAACCCGAAAACCTTCGGGTTCTACATTTTACGACCCGATCGGAGGACCAATGCTTTCGAGTTGGTCCGGGTTTTAAGAGTCTCGGGTTCGGGTTGGGTTCGGGTCGGGTTGGGTTGAACCCGGAAAAAATCAAAATCACAATTATGGACGGCCACATTATATACAAATTTGCACATATAGAAACACTCAACAGACAAAGTCCTTTACAACCCTCTGATTTGCACATCAAATATTTGAAACTGCATGTAATTCTAACTTCTAAGTTCTAAACTGATTTGCACAACCCTTTGTTTGACATCCAAAGTCACAAACTGCATGTCATTCTAAGTTCTGGGTGCCATAATCTAATTTCAGAACTGAGAAATCTATAAAAATTGAAATCAATTCACAAAAAACATTGCAAATATCTGAACTTTAAATTAATAAAAACATACATCCAAACCAAAGTGGAATATCTTGAGTCTAAAAACCAAACGATAAAAAATGTTGTAGAATAACAATTGGTTCGAAAGCAATATAAGAAAATAGTAAAGCTGACAAAATATAAAAAGTGGCCTTGAGGTTGATGAGTGTGCTCCTAGTAGCTGTCTGCTAGGTGCTTATACTACTGCAACTGTTTTGAACACTCCCCCTGCTCTCTATCAGCAACTCAGTTTGAACTTCAAGCCACACCTTTTGGATCTGCAAGTACTAACAAGTGTAAGAACACTAAAGTTAACATTTTTCACAAAGGTGAATTAAACAAAGATGAAGCAGCTTCACAATAAGCTACAAAAGTATTCCTTATTGATGTATTTCATTACTTTTAAATACACAAACTCAAAAAGTAATCAAAACTAAACAAAAATTTTGCATTCAATTGTTTACTAAACAGAGAATAAAACTCTATTGATACACCTAAGGGCTGGCCAGTAAGGGACCAAAACCACCCCATAACATATTAGTTATCTAGCTATATACTTATTTAGCGTGACCTGCAGAGATGGCAAACCAAATAAAATCAAATAAATAAATAAGACTCCCTTCTACAGTTCTAATAAACTAGTCACACCAACCAAATCAAGTTGTAGGAATATGCAACTCCACTATCCGAATGGTGAAAGATTATAGCTCCAACAAAATCTCAAGAACTGTGTGAAGAAAATAATAATTTAGTCCTGGAGAATAAACTAGGTCACGTGGAAGAAAATAAGTATTGATCTCTATAAAGAGAAATATTAAATAATTAACTTATTGAATGATAATAATGATCAAAACAAATATTTAAAGTCATACAATTTTCTGTTTCTTCACATTCTTTGTAAAATTCAACTTCTTCTTCGGTAGGCTCTTTGTAGAAGTTGAAGCCTTCAGCCCTGATCCAATCACTTGTACACACAAGGGCCTCTACCATCTTCGGAGTCAAAGATGTTCTAAATGGATTCACTATTCTTTCTCCCAAACTAAACGCATTTTCAGAAGAAACAGTGGAACAAGGCATTGCTAATACATCTTTAGCTACCTTTGCCAAAATTGGGTACTTTTCTGCATTTACTTTCCACCACAAGAGCAAATTGAAAGACTGGTTACAGCTGCCCTCACATGGATCACATAAGTAAGCATCAACCTCATTATTGATTTGAAAGATTTGGTCAGCTTGTTGTTGGTGCAAATAAGCAGCCCTCATTGCAGCTCTAGTATCATAGTTCTCATACTGTCCCACGTTAACATCATCAGGCCGTTCAGTAGCAATACTATGGGGTACTAGGGGCTCAAAGCATTTGTATGCTTCATAAAATTGCATTAAAATCTGCTTCACTTCGGTTGTAATGTTTTCAATGTTGGCCTTTGGTACTCCACATTTTTCAAAAAGAACTTTTTGGTATCCAAGTTTCCATCTAGGATCAAGAACATTAGCAATCACAAATAAAGGATTCACTTTCTCAAAAGAACCCCAATATTTATCAAACTTAAATAACATTGAAGCTGCCACCCTTCTTAACGGGGGATTATTGTGATCATTCATCGATTTTTGAATTTCAACTTGAATTGTAACCATCTCCTCAAACACAATATGAGATGTAGGGTTCTTAAAAGCACTCAACCTCAAAGTGGCATCATAAAACTTCTTTAAGAAGTAGACAAAAGCTTTGGCACGTTCCCAGTCTTCTGCTACTGGAGGTCCCTCCCTCAAATAAACTCCATTTTTATCTTTCTCAAAAAACCAATCACTATAAGGCTTATGTTCTTCTGCCATCCTATCAAAAACTTTAGAGAATTTTAACCCTCTATCTAGCATCTTATAAGTTGAATTCCACCTAGTGCACACATCCATACAAACATTTGCTGTCTTATCAAACCCTTCAAGTACTGCAAACTTTCTAAAGTTTTCTAACCTCAATGGAGAAGATTTAATAAACTTAATTGCATTACGAATGCTAACAACAACCTTATTCAATTCTGTAAGCCCATCTTGCACAACAAGATTAAGTATGTGACAGCAACACCTAACATGCAAATAATTACCATCAAGTATCAAAGTGTTCAACGACCTCATTCTCTTTGTCATATAACCGACAGCAGTGTCATTAGCTGATGCATTGTCTACGGTTATTGTGAAAATCTTTTTAATTCCCCATGAATTTAAACATTCCTCTACAGCCCTCCCAATGTCATCACCCTTATGGCTTACAATTTGAGTAAAGTTCAGAATTCGTTTATGCAAATTCCAATCTTGATCAATAAAGTGTCCAGTGAGAACCATATAATTTATATTCTGAATAGAAGTCCAAGTATCGGTGGTAATAGAAACTCTAAGATTATTATCTGATATCATAGACATAATCTTAGTCTTTTCTATGTGAAACAAATCCCACACACCTCGAGTTACACTTTTCCTATTCATAGGCTTCCACTTAGGATTCAAAGAGAGACAAAATCTCCTAAACCCTCTTCCTTCAACATGAGAAAAAGGCAACTCATCCTCGAGTATCATCCTCACACATTCAAAATCACATACCTCTTTGTTGTATGAATAAGGTTTAGGTGAACCTTCTGTGCCAAGCGTGAGAAGCTGTTGCCCTTTCCCAATTTGTTTCGCCTCTAGTGAAGCTTTTGGACAATGCTTTTGAAGGTGTCTCAATAGGGCTGAAGTACCATTGCCATCGGGTGATGCCTTGAGCCTTTTTTTGCAATAGTTACAAGTTGCCGCCTCGAGTATATCTTTGTCTCCCACTTTTTTTGTTATTTTCACCATATGACCCCAAACTTCCGAGCCTTTTCTCTTTTTCTCTGAAGATGGTAAGCTTTCATCACTGCCACCATTAGAGCCAGAAGGTAAACCTTGCGTAGACATCTAAAAAAACATACAAACATAAGGGAAAAAAGTTAATAAATAAAAATTCTCACTGGAACTTCTGAGATTATGGAAGTTAACCTTGAAAAATTGAAATAATAAAATAATTATTAAGGCTATCAGTCTATCACAATCCAGTGATAACATGAACTATTAACTACTAATTACAGTTCAGTAAAAGAAGCAAAGTGATTCAAGTTTCCCAATTTGAGCAATATAAATTTATAACCAAATCGAGCATACAAATATTCAATAAATTGAACAAATTGAATCATATAATGACTTATATAAAAATCAATTAGCAAAAACCTAAATAACAAAAAAACTTCATATACAGTGAGTGATTCAAGTTACCCTGTCTACAATAGGCAAAACAATCTGAAAATAGTAAAGCAATTAAACGGTATTCTGTAAATAATTGAAGAAGGACGGTTTTCATCATACTTTAGAAACAAGACAAAGAAACTGCTGCTTTGCAATTTGGTGAGGAGAAACTGCTGCTTTGCCGCTAAACCGTATGCCGTATGCTCTGATTGGTGACGGGTGAGTATACGATAGTATTATAGTATATATACTATGGATATGGAGTATAAATGCATTAGTTATAGAATTCTACTAGGGTTGGCAAGGTAATGAACTGTGGGCCTGAGGTGGCTAATTAATACGGAGTATAATTATTACTCCATAATTGCAAAGTAGTATACTCTGTATAAGGTATGAATTGTATGATGTATCAATATTCCATACGTATCATATATAAAAATATATATATTTTTTTCATATTTAAATCGGGTTTTTTTTCGGTCCGGGTCGGGTTTATAATTTTAGAACCCGGTTAAAGACCCGAATTTTCGGGCTCGGGTCGGGTTTTTTTACCCGGACCGGTGATTTTTAAAATTAGACCCGGACCGATGTCATTTATCGGGTTGGGTCGGTCCGGTTTTCGGGTTTCGGGTCGGTTTTTCCCAGCCCTACTTTCAATTGATTTAAGTTGGAATTCCAATTTTTAAAAAAATTACATTGACCCCCATTTCTTTAATTAGTTGAGTGGTGTCAATTTATAATTTATGAAACATTACATATATCTATACAAAGAATTTTTATTTTTCAGTGGTGTCAATTTTAGAATTTTGAAAAAATTTATATACCTACATCATCATTTCATCATTTTCTCCTCTCTTGGTTCCCTCTTCCTTCTCTCTTCTTCCTCTCCCCCTTCTCTCTTTCCTCTTTACCCAATCTCTTCTAAAATTCTCAACAACAAAAAAAGAATTCTTCTTCATCCTCCTCTTTCCTTCTTCATCCTCTTTTTCTCTACCTTTACTTACCAATTTTTTTTCATTATTTGCACAAAATCAACTTATTCATCTTATTTCATATATTTTTATTATGGTTCTAGTTTTATTCAAATTATTGTAAATTGATTACACATACAACTACATCCTTCATTTAGATGTATATAGAAAATTGAGTTTTTTGTTCACCCAGACAATTAAAATTGATCACACAGACAACTAAAGTTGATCACACAGACAACTATTGTCTGTGGAACGCACAACTATTGTTTGTGTGGTAAAAGTTGTCTCTGCACACAGATAAATAATTGTTTGTGCAACATGAAAATATTGTCTGTGCACACAGGCACTGCACATATATTGATTGATTTGCAAGCTGATGTCAGTGTTAGGCGGCTGTCAGCGTACTTTTTACAAAAAGTAAATATTTGTGGACACAAACAAAAATTGTTTGTGTACACAGACAACTCTTGTCTGTGACCACAGACAATTCCGTACCAATTGTCTATGACCGACATTTTGTGCACAAGTTGTGTACAACTTGTGTACCCTAAGTTGATACATTTAATACTGCCTTCTACCCTACCCCAATGATCTCTCACTGAATTTATACCCGTTTGTCTTACTTACACTGAATTATCTCTCCAATTTCGCTTTTACCCTTCTCAAAATAATCGGCTCTCTCTCTTGTACAAAGACGAGCGAAACGAGCGGCACGGCAGCAACTTTGTCACCGGCCACACTTTGGCTGGCTTCCTCTGCGTCTGTTCGCCACCGCCGCACTACTTAGCCAGGTCAGACGCCACATTCTTTCTCGAAACTGTTCTCTCCTTTTAGACTTCTGAACTGGTCGACTTGCCGGAGTTGTAGATGGTCCATCTTCATGTAATTATTATGCTCAGAAGTCAGAACTGTTTGCAGAATGGCTAAAGTGCTCATTTATCTTAAGTGCTAGTTTACTGATTTATATTTTTGCAGAATTATGCCGATTTAGCTGAAGTTCTAAACTTCTTTTTATAGATGCTTGTGTATTTTAACTGAGGACAGATCGTATCAGGCCGGCTTGACGGCGAACCGCCGTCAGGCCGAGGCCATTTGGGGACCTTCCAAGTGGAATTTTTTGATGAAATTTGAACATGTTCCTCATCAAGTCTAGTTTATTCATACCAAAGTTCAGCTAAAAATTCGGGAAGGCAGTCAAAAAAATTCTCTACTAAAACTGTGCATTATTTATATATAAACTGCGCAGTTTTAGTAGGGAATTTTTTTGATTGCCTTCCGGATTGAATTTTTAGCTGAAATTTGGTATGGATAAACTAGACTTGATGAGGAACATGCTCAAAAAATTCCACTGGGAAGGGCCTCTGATGGCCTCGGCCTGACAGCGTTTTCCGTCAGGCCGGCCTGACAGGATCGGGACTCTATTTTAACTTAAACTAAGTCTAATTACACAATACGGAGTATTAATAATGAGATCTGTTATTTGTGAAATGTTTGACTAATTTTTAGTAAAATTTACAATCCATCTTTGCACATTTTCAATCCATCTAATTTGCTGAAAAACTTGCTAGGCAAACTGCACTACTTCACTGCTTAATAAGGTATGATAAGAATAGTAAAATGTGCATGTTAGACCTTCACTGTTGGAAAACTTTATGCGAGGAAAGAAATGACTAATAAAAATATTTTCTTAGAAAAATTCAAAAGAAACTGTAATACGATTAGTTTGTAAAAGATAGTATCTTATTAAAGTAAACTCCAAATTAGCAAATAGACAAGATTTTGTTTTTTTTAAACTGCGCGCAAAAGTAATGGTCTAATGGATCACAAGTCTGAACCTGATTCCATATTCAAAAACTCATATCCATTATCTTTGAACGGAACAATAAATTCAGCAACATGAATTTCAGCAAAAAAAGGTAGTCTTTCATTGCAAAATATAATGGAAGATACTTACATAGGATTATAAATTTATAATTACAGAATGGATTCAGCAACGCATGTCAGCATGTATGCATGTTAAAAAGTAAACTTTTTTAGTATAACGTTCTAAATTTAAATACGATTATCAACAAATCGATGACTTGTTGAATAATCTATTTGAGCAGGGGCTAATTAAAAAAAAATAAACTTATTGAGCGTTCCAATCAAACATTGATTATCTATCTAGTGAATATTTTTCAGCATGGAAAACTACTGATAGAAAAACAAATAAAGAAAAAAGTACTCGTAAAATAAATCAATTGTGCAAGAAATATGTGGTCCTTATCATTTTACTTTATTCTTTTCAAATCTCAACCACAACTTTTACTTTTCAACCACTTTATTAATTATCATGCCAAATTGAAAGTGGACAACCAATATGGGACGGAGGTAGTACTTAAAATAAACCAGGTCTTTCTTAAGTCACAATCCAATAAAAAGATAGAAACATAGGAACCCACACCTCAGCTTTTGAGGCGTAAGCCTCTTGAGATGCGAGAAAAACCTAAGCCTTGATACCTTCTCTATACGCCTTACCTTGAGGCGCACATCAAAACCCGGCCTGTAACCGCCTTCTTAAACCATGGTTAAACTATATGCCATTGTGATTCGATGCAAGGGATGGTAAGGAGCTTAGAAAATCATTGGTTCCCAGATAGTATGAGGAATGAGAGGGATGATAAGCTTATTTATGTTTGCATTGATTCCTCATTGTGCCAGGGATGGTAATGAGCTTAGAAGATTGCAGCAAACCATTGATTCCTCATTCTTAGATTCCAGCCAACCATTGATCCCTGCAAAAATATGAGCTTAAAAAAAAAATGGATATGGCAATCTGGTTTAATGGTTAAACCTCTTCTTATATGAAACTGATGTATACGCACCCTAGCAACTTAAAAATACAAAATAGCAGCTTCATTGAGTAAAGTGTATAATTCGAAATTTTTGATAAACCTTTGTTAATCAAAATAGAAGCTTCATTGAGTAAACTGTGAACTGCAAACTTCCAGAAAAAATCATTGCTAATCCATGTATAAGGAAGTTGTTTTCAAACTGAAAAGTACTCATTTAATCTGAAATTACTCAACATAAACAGTGGCTACTGAGAAGCAAAAACTAATCAGAAAAAACTAAGAAAAAACTACTTTGATAGAAGCACCCTAGATACTCCATGAAACTAATTGATGTATATGCAGCTGACAGGAGACAAAAGAAACCTACAAGGAGTCTTCTTAATTGCAACATTGGTATAATCCCTTATTTCATTAGGTTTCAGATTATGTTGGCCTACTAGTGCTTGATTCTACTAGGCATTTGTATTAGATTGAATGTTCATAGTTTTTTGCATCACAAAGTATTACATGAGGCTTGTTGCAAGAACTAGTGCTTGATTCTACTAAATAAAGCTCCTTTTTATATATAGTCACATCCTGAAGGCATTTGTACTAATCGGCTATGTGGTTTAATTCTCTGCTCCAAGTAATATTATTAAATGTGTAATAGGCACTTGGTTTATGAGTTGTTTTTGCATATAACATGTATAGTAAGTCTGAATTAATTTTTTGCACCAAACATTTCTCTCCTCATATATTGCTTCTAAGTTCTAACTGCAAAACTGATTATGCTGTATGACAGGAGAGCCCACCCGCCAAAGCTTATCAAATGGGCAGACCTCCGAGAAACAATATTGCAAAAGCAGGTGTTAAACTACC